AATGCGACAGACGCAACACTAAAAATAAATGCCTGGAAAGTTGAGTTACTATCTCGTTGAAGTCCAGGCCAACATGAACCAGGGAGAGCGACTGATAGTAAAACTGAAAGAGTTACAATTCAAAATCCAAAGATTGGTTGCCATAAAATAATTATAACAATAATAATAATAATTATTATTATTATTCATTATTATTATTATTTGTTTTTACTATTATTTCTGTTGTTAATGTTATTACTGATGATTTGAAAATGGCCAAAGTGGGTGATGTTATGTCAATGAAGATAAGGATGAAAGCAATATGATAATTATAAAACAACACTATCATTGTTATTTTTATTATCACTTATAACCTTTTTTATCATTATTACTGATCTTATCATTATGATTTCATTGGCAGATTGGCTCGAATGTTTTAGATAAGACTCTGATAGAATGATGTGTTGATGATGGTTGTTGACGATACGGTCTTGAAAAAGTTCTCGTTTTTTTAAATTAGACTGTGACAACAATATTTCGATTATCTTTATTAATAAATTTATTATTACTAAATAATCTATTTAAATAAATTAATGTCATAATTTCGTTTGTGAACTTATTTCTCGAAACGTACACAAAAAATTAAGCCTGAGTGTGTATATATTTGTACATATGGTTTTATATGTGCATACATGGGGAATATATAATGTATGTATTCCACATTTTGAAGTAAGAACCTTTATAAAATTACTCACAACGAACTCATAATAACGAGCTAATCTCAAAGTTTTCAGTATATATATATATGTATTAATCGGCGCAGGCACCAGTTAATCATGAGTATATTTTGAGACGCTTTTCTTTTGTTATTCGTCGTTTTTATCGAATTAAATATTAATTTTAATTAATTTAATTTATTTAGTTGGAAATTCGTTGAAAAGCGTGAATTGATATACTTTTATTTTTGGCTTGCCTACGTTAACTTTTAAAATTTTCAAACTGGTTGAACACCTTTGTTATTTTTAATTAATTCAGGTGATATATAACTTTAAAAAAATTAAATAAGAGAATTATTCGATTAAAAAGTTTTATTTGGGAAACTAAATTGCTCTCATAAAAATTGTTTAATTAAATTGTTTTTAATTTGAAAAAATTTTGCGAAACTAATTGTTCATTTTATCGGTGATTAGATTTTAATTATTAGTAGATTAGGCGATTAGGCAAGCGAGCCAGCGCTTTACCGTTAGTTAAGTTTGTTGTAGAAAGAAGTAGACAGAGTTACGGCTGATCGGCCAGTCAGTCAGTCAGTTAACTCAAATCAATGGTTATGATGGATGTAAGAATTGGCACGAGGATTGGCATGTTCTTAGCGTCTGCTCTGTTATTGTTAGGAGGGATTTCCTTCCAGTTCACAAGTGCTGGAACCGGCGTCGGTGAGATGAGTTTATTTACGTTTCTAGAGTTTCACTTTAACAATTCAAGTTTTTTGTTTGTGTGTCTGTATACTGTATATAATTGAAATTTAATTTTGATAATTTTTATTTCAATTTTCATTATCTGTTTTTCAGGCTAATTAATTTTCTGTTTAAATAACATAATTAATGACAATTATAATTAATACTCAATAGTAAAAAAATTTAATACTGATAATTTAAATGATAAAACTGATTAAACTTGCTAACAATACACAAAAACTATGTATTATATATAAATTGATAAAAACCACAGCATGTTCACTTTAGTTTACTAAGTTTCCTATTTAATTTTTCAATTTTTTTTATGGTAGATTGTAAATCATTGTCAAGTTTCTTGAGTTTAAAACCAAAATTTTTATTCATTTTAACAAAAGAGCTTCTTTTTGGTATTCTTATGCCATTTACGGTGTTCAAATTGATAAGTTGTGTATGTGTACTGTATATGTATGTGGCAAGCCAAAAAAACAATTATGTTAAAAGATGATAATTTTATACAATGATAAATAAATTTATTCAAACTAATTCAATTATATATCTGCTTGTGTCAGTCTGTTCTCTTTTTTCACCATTGTAAATAATAATAATCAAATCAAATCAAATCAAATTTTATTCAATCAATCCAAATTAATAATAATTAGGTAATGATTAGGAGACCAAAGCTAAAAGAAAACAAAATTCTTGTGTCACAGGCCACCGTTCACAAATTGTAGCACAATGTTTAAGTAAATTTATAATTCATGACAAAATTAACATAATGCACAATTTACATAATAATAATAATAATTACTAATATGATCATCATGCCATCAATATAACCATTATAATCACAATCATCATATTCATCATCATTTTAATAATTACTTTTATAAGGGTGACCACCATCTAGATCTACTTCCTTCTAATTTACTTAAAGAATTCTCTTCAATATTTTATCCAATCATTCTCAAATTAGTTAATTTATCTCTTTCCACCTCTAAATTTCCTTTTTCTTATAAGAATTCTATTGTTATTCCTATTCTTAAAAACACATCCCTAGATCCTACCTCTTTATCTAATTATAGACCTGTAACTAATATTACTTTCATCTCTAAAATAATAGAAAAAGTTGTTTTTAATCAACTCTCATCCTATTTAGACTTTAACTCTTTGCTACCTGTATCTCAATCTGGTTTCAGACCTGCTCACAGTACTGAAACTTCTTTACTTAAAATACACAATGATATCCTTCTCTCTAGTGACAATAGTAATCTTACTCTTCTTCTTGCTCTTGACTTTTCCTCGGCTTTTGATACTGTTGATCATACTATTCTCTTGAGACTGCTACATCTTTCTTTTAATATTACTGATTCTTGTCTATCTTGGTTTTCTTCTTATCTCTGTAATCGTTTTTCTTCTGTTGTTCTCAATAATTCTACTTCTAACTCCTTTACTCTTACTTTCGGGGTACCTCAGCGTTCTATCCTTGGCCCTCTTCTATTTATACTCTATACTTTTGAACTACCTCGTATTATTAATAACTTTTCTTTCTCTAGTCAACTATATGCTGATGATTCTTACATTTATACTTCTTTTCCTCCATCTAATCTCAATAGTGTTCTTCATAATCTATCTCTATGTCTTTCTTCAATTATCGCTTGGTCTGACTCTATGTGTCTTAAACTTAATCTTTCTAAGTTTGAATTAATTTGTTTTAATAAATCTAAACACTCTATTACTATTCCTCCTATTATCTTATCTGACTCTAAAACTGTTGATGTCTCTCATAAGTTTCGTAGTCTAGGTTTTATCTTTGAATCTACTTTGTCTCTCTCTTCTCAGATTAATAGTGTTGCTAGAAGCTCTTACTTTCATCTACGTAGAATAAAAAAACTTTTGCCTTTTCTTGATGATCCTACTCTTCTCCTTCTTGTTACTTCGTTAGTCTTATCTAGGATTGATTATTGTAACTCGCTCTACTATGGTCTTCCTGACTCTATACTCTATCCTTTAAGTAAAGCTTTTAACTCTGCTGCTCGTCTAGTTGCTCGTGCCCCTTTCTTTTCTCATATATCTCCATATCTTGTTCTCTTGCACTGGCTACCTATAAAATATAGAATAATTTTTAAAATTTGCACGTTCATGTATAAGTCTCAATCTAAATTATTTCCTAAGTACTTATCAGATATATTAATTGAACCTAAACGCCCCGGTTTACGATCGTCTTCTTCTTCTCGCTTTTTCTTAACTCGTGTTAAACACTCTTTTGCCAAATCTGCTTTTGCTTTTCTGGTCCTTTTCTCTGGAACTCTCTACCTACTTCTCTAACTATTTCTCCATCACTTGCGAAGTTCAGAGCGGATCTCAAGACCCATCTGTTTTCAAAATTCATTGAGGAGCGCT